ATGGAGAAAAATACTTACAATTTAATTTTAAGGGAAAATAGGATAAAAGTTAGATGTTCAATCTAACCCTAATTTTTCAAAAATATACCCCACTAAGAAGATAATGTGAAATATATGAAAGTATCAATGATGATTATTGGTGGGCTGTGGGTTTCTAGGTAATTTTTATATTCCTTTATGAAATGTTTGTTTTCCAAATTCTTTGAGTCTGAGTTATTCTTATAAGTAGAAGTAAACAAATACTTATTATAAACAAACACTTCAAGGCTTACTCTCTGAGTGTCTCTCCTCATCCTGGGGACCAGTGCTCCCTTCTGGAACTTAGAGGCTCTTGGGCATGGTTTCAGCAGTGGTCCACTGTGTTCTTCCTGGTCCAGTATAAGTCACAAAGAGAGAAAGTGCTCCAAAGGTACGGGCACCCTTGTCGTGCTGAATAACTTGACAGATCTAAGACTCAGTTTCCTAGCTGTAAAATGGGAGAATGGCTACTGTCCTTTATTACACCACAAAGAGATTATAGAGACTGAAGAGGGTAAGGAAGGGGAGAATATTTAAACGATTTAGAATAGAACACAATGGTAATGGATGGGGTGGTAAGTTACCAAGGGTAGTTTGAGCTTAGAAGCTCTGCCATTAAAACACGGTAACACTATCCACCCTGTTAGCCGTCTGCATCACAATGCTTCCTGTGAAGGTAGGACTGAAAACTGGGTCATTAATTTTTTTTTTATTAAAGATTTTATTTATTTATTTGACACAGAGAGAGAGATCACAAGTAGGCAGAAAGGCAGGCAGAGAAACGGTAGCAGGCTCCCTGCTGAGCAGAGAACACCATGTGGGACTCGATCCCAGGACTCTGAGATCATGACCTGAGCCGAAGGCAGATGCTTAACCCACTGAGCCACCCAGGCGCCTCCTGGGTCGTTAATACTTTTGTGGTTGCATGATCTTTGAAATTTTCACACCAAATTTCTGAGTTTTAATGGGCCCCCTTTTCAGTCGCCAAATTATGGCAAGTATCCAGAAATGGTCACCAGAGGGCGCTAGATCACTTACGGTGTCCGCCGGGCTCCCCGGCAAAACCACCATGATTAGTTATGTCAGGAGTATAGGAACTGGGTCCAGGCCGGAAAAAAAAAAGAAATCCAGTGTACATTAGTTATGATGTTGGGCCAACACTTAAGTAAATAGGCTTCTTTTTTCCTCCTTGGCTATTACTTTAGCTGTTCTGCTTTTTCAGTTTGCATGCTAATGTACTTTTATTTATTTCTTTTATGCCAGTTGAGACCGTTCAGATGAGAATACTTCAGAAACCTGAAACTCTGGTTGGTTTTGAGAGCAGCCGTAGGCACATGTTCACATGACAAAGAGGTCACCCTCCCCTCTTTGAAGTTTGAGTTTGAGAAGTTTGAAGTTTGAGAAGTTTATAAATGTATTGAGAAATAAATATATGGCCTATATTATTTTCAGAAAGGACAAGGCTGAAGTTGGTCTTTGTGCTTAGGCTGTCAGTGCTTGCCTGATGGTCCCTGGTCCCCAGCCTGCAGACACGCCTCGGGGAGGGGGAGTGTCCTGGGGACATTCGGAGGAACCTCTCTCTCCTCCACCTTGGAGTCTATCTGCTGGTGGGGCCCTCCAGGCCACAGCGTAATGGCTGCAGCAGAGAGCAGGGACACTTAGCCCCAGTCCTTATCCCAACCGAGGGGCTCGTTGGGTGCAGAACAGCAAATTGGGGGCAGGGAGCAATAGTCTTGCCTGGACTTGTCTCCCCCATCATCCGGTGCCTGTACACACATGAGCTCTGGTGTGGGGTCAGAAGCCGTGGTTGGCGTTTGGCTGTGTTTTGGGTCACAGTAGTTACAACCCAGACCTGTATAATGTTTTTTTTTTCTTCCTTACAAATAACCCTTTGTTATTTGTAGGTAGGTAGGCAGAGCAGTTCCTGTTTTTATTCCAATTTTACAAGTGAGGGAACACGATAAACCCAAGGCACTGAAGTTCCTTTTAACTTTGAGGTTCTATTCCGTCTTGTAGAACCTTTTCCCCAATTGGTTAGACCAGGTGTGGGTTTCCTGAAGCTGGTGGCCAGAGAGGCAGGCAACAGCCTGATGAGGGCTCTTTCTGGTGGATGGTGGCATTCTCATTCACTGCCTACCAGTCAGGCCATCTCAGGTGGTGGTGTGGGACTGGAGTTGTAGGCAAGGTAGGATATTGACTTTGATGGCAAGGAACTCTGATGAATTGTGACTCAGCCTAGGTTTCGTCTAACAGAAGTTGCTAAAACCTTCAGCCAGCCCTGGCAGAGGTGATGAAGAGAGCAGGAGACAGGACGATGGGATGGCGAAGGTGACAGTGGGGGAGAAACATAGGTGGGGATTCCGCAGTTGGGGTGACGAAGTCATAGCAACCAGTGGTTTCTCGCTAGTAGCCCCAGACTGGTACTGCAGGAGAACTCGGGTCATGGGGGCTGTCCAGGAATGCCTGGAGAAGAGTCATGGTGTGTGGAAGCTCAGTTTTAAGGGGAAGGGAATCCATTCTGGGGGTTTTATATCCCTGTGAGCAGACAATCCTGTCATTCCTGTTCTTATTATGCTATGGGTATTTTATTTTTAAATTTCAAATCTTGTACTTGATTTAAGGAAAGTCCTTAACGTTCCTGGCATATGCTGAGGCCCAAAGGGAGCAAAGTACAGCCATTTAGAGGGCTAATGAATCAAAGGAGTCTCAAGCTCACAGTTACCTTCTTGCAACATCTCCACAGTACTTTTGGGGCCGACCCTGAACTCAGTGCTGGGAAGAATCCAGGGTCTTTGCAAGGACTAATGCAGCACAGATGTGTTGAGAGAGGCTGCTGAACACGAAGGATGAGGCTACATGTGCTATCTGGGTGACAGTTTCACTTTTTGGAAAATACCATCTGTAACTCCCTTTTATGCATTGCTTTGTTTGTTTTGAATAGTAAGATTATGTTTATTTTTTATTATGTTCCGTTAGCCGACATATAGTACATCATTAGTTTTTGGTGCAGTGTTCAACGGTTCCTCAGTAGTGTATTACAGAGTGCTGCTCCCTTTTACGTGTTGGTTTTTGAGTACCAAATTCTCAAGAACTCTTACCTCCTTCTATTTCCCCCTTTGACTTTGGCCCTATTTTCTCATGGGTATGTGTCCTGAACCCAATGAACACATTCTGAATGAGGTTTGGAGAAGCTGCAGACTTTCCCTTCTGCTTCTCTGCCCTGCCAAGCCTCCCTTCTGGGGTCCTCCCCAGCATCCCAGCATCCTAGGGCCTCCAGGGGCAAGGGGCAGGGCTGAGCTCTGGCTCAGGCAGAAGCAGGGCTGGGCCCGTACAGTAAAGGATGCTAACTAATTTGGCCGTCACCACAGGAAGGACTGAAAGGAACTTGATAATTCCAATTAGTCTTAAACTAATGAGCTGGAAACTTTGGGGAAACCACTGTGGGTAATGAGGGGAGAGTGTGACCATCTTCTTCCTAATTAGCACTGGAAAAACTTGTAGTCCAGCTGGTAGCCAAGAGGAAGAGCAGTGTACAGAGGGAGCAAAATTTCTGAGAGCGTCACAAGAGGTTTTCCCCTGTGGTGTAGGGATAGAGGCTGCTGAACAAAACCAGGCTTCTCCTCCTCTTTAAAGGTGGGGGTAGGAGGGAAGACCCTAAATGGGGAAAGGCAGGCTTGAATGGCCCCTTCTCCCAGCTGCCCTCCTCACACAGTGGGGTATGGGGCTAGATAAACGGGGAGTGACTTTGGGGAACTCAATTGTCTGTTGTAGCCTGCACCATCCCTGAGGCCAGGTTCCCCCTTGCTCATTTCTTTTTACTCTCTTAGGCAGGCTCTGTCCCTTAATAAAGAAAATGCAGAAAAACCACCTGCTGCTGTCAAGGCCAAAGACCACCCGCCAGCCTCCAGCTATGCGTGGGGCACTGGGGCACCTAGGAAGGGGATAGGGAAGAGAGAACTAGAGGCCAGAGGGGGTGGAACTAGGGTGTGTATACAGAAGGGTCCTCCTCACTCCCAAAGCCAGAGAATTTGGGGGGTGTCCGGCCTGTGGTGTCGATAGCTGGTCACTCCTTCCCTCTCCACCGGGGGATCCTTTGGCAAAAACGGCCCGCCATAGGTGCCCCGCCATCCTCCTCGGGTCCCCCCGGGTTGCTCGGCTGGGGGCGCAGCACCTTGGAGAGAGGCGCCCGATCCCGAGTCTTGATTCGGGGCGCTCTACCTTGCGTTCTGGGGCTCAGGGGCTCGTGCCAGGGGGCCGCCGAGGGGTCAGCCTGCCCCCTGTCCAGCTCCGAGCCGAGGCGAGCCGGCGGTGCAAGCCTCCTCTCCTCCCGCCTCAGGCGGCCTGAGCCCGCGCCTGCTCCAGTTGCTGCAGCTGCCGCTGCTGGCGGCTGCGGGGAGCGCGGGGAGCGCGCCGAAGAGGCTCGGGCGGCGAGGACGGGGACGAGGAGGAGCCGGAGGAGGCGAGGAGGAAGAACGAGCGGAGGCCGAGGAGGCTCAGCGGCGTGGAGACGCGGCTCAGGGATCCCGGGGGGCATGAGCTAGCGGCCGGGGCGGCCCGGCAGCCAGACGCGGCGGACCTTCCGTGGCCCGACGCGTGCAGGGGCGGCGAGCCGGAGCCGAGCGCAGCCGGGCACGGCAGGCTGACGCGGGGGCGTCCCGGAGGAGGGGAGCTGATCACCCATTATTAACTAGTTGCCGCCTAATAAGCCAGGAGCGGCGGGTGAGCGGCGCCGGCTGCGCTCAGGGAGGGTCCCGGTCCGGAGCGCAGCGCACTCGCGTGGCGCACGGCGGGCCGGCGCGCGGAGCCGGGGCGGGCCCGGGGGCGGCGCAGACCCCGGGCGCGGGCGGCCCGCGGCGCCCCCTGGCTCTCGGCGCTCGCGGCCGGCGTAGCCCCGGGCGAGCGGGGCGCGGGCCGGGGCGGGGAGCTGCCCGCGCGCTCCATCCCCTCCCCCCCGGCGGGCGGCCGGGGGGAGGGCGGGCGGCGGCTGCCCGCGGTATATATCTCGGCGCACCCCGCCAGGTCGCGCACAGCGCCCCGAGCCCAGGCGCCTCCCCGCCCCCTCCCCGCGCTCCGCGGCGGCGGCGGCGGCAGCAGTAGCAGCAATATGGCTGTTGATGGGTGTTCGGGGTGGCGCTGGCGGCGGGAGGAGCTCCCCCGAGCCCCTGCGCCGGCTGCCCGTTGCTAGCTATGGCAAATGGTGGCGGCGGCGGCGGCGGCAGCAGCGGCGGCGGCGGCGGCGGCGGCGGCGGCGGAGGCAGCAGTCTTAGAATGAGTAGCAATATCCACGCGAACCATCTCAGCCTAGACGCGTCCTCCTCCTCCTCCTCTTCCTCCTCCTCTTCTTCCTCCTCCTCCTCTTCCTCCTCGTCCTCGGTCCACGAGCCCAAGATGGATGCGCTCATCATCCCGGTGACCATGGAGGTGCCGTGCGACAGCCGGGGCCAGCGCATGTGGTGGGCTTTTCTGGCCTCCTCCATGGTGACTTTCTTCGGGGGCCTCTTCATCATCTTGCTCTGGCGGACGCTCAAGTACCTGTGGACCGTTTGCTGCCACTGCGGGGGCAAGACGAAGGTAACGCGCGCCCCGGGCGCCCGCCCCCTGCGCCAGCCCACCTCCTCGCTCCTCACCGCGCCGTGCCGCCCTCCATCCCTGCCTGCCTTCCCCGCGCCGCCTGCCCTTCCCTCCGCTCTCCCCGCTCCCCGCTTGGCGCGGCGGGCGGCGCGCCGGGGCTGAGGAGTGGACCCCGACCGGTGCGCTCCGGGACGCGGACGCCCAGTCCCGTCCCGTCCCCTTGTTTATGGCGGGGTAGCGGGCGGCTGCGGTTGGGGCCGGGCGGGGGTGGAGGGGAACGTGCGCCTCTCGGGGGCCGGGATGCGGGGTAGGGAGAGCGGAGCACGCGGGGCCCGAGGCCGCGGGGGGGGGGGCGGCTCCGGGTGCGTGTGCCGCCCGCCTCACCCGCCGCGGCCGGGCTCCTGGTGGTGGGAGAGGGGGGAGCACGTCGGCCCGCACTCCAGAAACCTGTTGGGGAGACGAGTTCGTGGAGTCGGGCGGCAGGGGAAACCTTTTGGGCAGGGGAGAAAATTTTTTGGACTGGGGAATCCCGGGGGAGGAACCTGGCCAGAGGAGGTGTGGGGACCTCGGGGACAGCGAGGGAAAGTTGGGGAGCTGCATCCCAGTTTTGGAGGCAACCCACGGAGGCTGCCACTTTAGGAATGTGGCGAGGTCGCACATCTGATGTCACCTTCCTCCCCATCCTTTAGATATTCTCGTGGAACATACCCCCGCCCCAAGTTCTTCAGCCTCTGTATTCTCGCCCCCACGCCACCTTCCCTAGGTCCCCGGAAATGCCGCCGGCGGCGGGGAGCTGGAGCAAGGAGGTCCGCGCGAGAGCCTCCGAGGCCGCGGTTTCACGCGGAGCCTCCTCCCCGGCGCTTTTGAGGTGGCTGGATGTCGGCTTAAGCTATTCCTGGCGCAGAGACGCCCACCACCACCGAGGCTCACTACACCTTAAGTATGGTTGGTAGGCTGACTGCCTGGTCTGTCGCTGTGTCCCTAGAGATGTCCTCCCCTCCCACCATCCTCCGCGCACTGGCTGAAGGTGAGGGGCTGGGGCAGTTTTTCACTGAAAACTGCAGAATGGAAAAGAAAGAACTGGAAAAAAGAGGGACCGAGCTACATTGTGTTTGAGTAATTCCCATCCTAGGGGACTTCACGTTTCGGACGGAGGGGAGATCAAAGGGAATAGGGGAACCGTTCAAGGTAGAGGCAGGTCTGGGTCGCACACCTTCTTCTAGTAAAGTTAATGCCAGGACCCCTCAAACTTCCACAGGGCTCTGCAACTTGTAGCAGCCTCCTTAGTTGCTGTGGGAAGTAGGGAAGTGGGGGGCTGTGGGTGAAGGACAAGGAGGAACCCAGGCTCTCTCTCCTGATCATTAATTATACACCGCGCTGGGTGCTGGAGCTCAGCTGTGTTTTGTGGCAGCACATTTGTGTTTTGGAAAATACTGGTGTGTTGGAAATAGGGGAGAAAAATAAAAGCCATCTCTCTCTTCCTCCTCCTCCCACTTCTCCGGAGGCTTCCAGATGTTGGCTAGGCAGCTTTGGAGTTACCTCCTCCACGCAGAGGTTTCTCCTTACTTGTCCAGGTGGGAAACTGCCCACGTTCCAGAGACGCAAACAGGCTAAGCAGACTTAGAACCATGAGACCCCCGAGACCATGCTTCTTGCCTTAGCCTTCCTCTTAACTCCTTGTTCGTAGACATGTTCACTCATCTCCTCCTCTCACGGTCTTCAGTCCTGGAGTTGTTTTTTTCCTTTACTGAGAGTCCATGTCTGGCCTTAGGGGAGGGATAGCTCCTGGTCGTGGGTCTCTAAAATGTTCCAAACCACGGAGTGGTTTGGGAGCAGTTTTTAACAACCTCCTCATCCTTAAGGAATTGGGCATTCTTGATCATAACGAAAACTTTTTCAATGAGTCAAAATAAGTTGTGGTGTTTTTGTGATTGTGGGGTTTTATTTTTATTTATTTATTTATTTATTTTTAAAGATTTTATTTATTTATTTGTCAGAAAGAGAGAGAGAGAGCGAGCACAGGCAGACAGAGTGGCAGGCAGAGGCAGAGGGAGAAGCAGGCTCCCTACAGAACAAGGAGCCCGATGTGGGACTCGATTCCAGGACGCTGGGATCATGACCTGAGCCGAAGGCAGCTACTTAACCAACTGAGCCACCCAGGCGTCCCTGATTGTGGGGTTTTATTTATTTATTTATTTTTAAAAAAGATTTTATTTATTTATTTGACAGACGGAGATCACAGAGAAGCAGGCAGAGAGAGAGGAGGAAGCAGGCTCCCTGCTGAGCAGAGGGCCCGATGCGGGGCTCGATCCCAGGACCCCGGGACCACGACCTGAGCCAAAGGCAGAGGCTTTAACCCACTGAGCCACCCAGGCGCCCCTGATTGTGGGGTTTTAAACACAGCTTCCACGTCCTTTTACCCTAGGGGTCCATGGATGTCACGGCAGTCCCTGGGAGGAAATGCTGATTGGACTGTTCACACACAGAGTCTCTTTCATAAATGATGACCAAGCATAACTTGTGTCAATCTTCTCAAGAAAAGAGGTTTTTGGCAATGATCGTTAGAAAAAGCGATCCCTGTCTACTAGACTATACTTTGTAGCTCTGAGACTGGCTGAGTTGACATAACTGGAAGTTTCTACAAAAAATCAGCCTGGGACGAGAGAAGCTTGCAGTTGGTTGGGAGCTTATGAGGCGAGTGGAGGACGAGGTCAGGTCACTTTTAATACCATTAGCGTGCACTTTAAAACACGCCCAGAATCTCATAACAACTTCCCGTTGATTTGGTCGCTTGAACCATGCGTAACCAGCTCATTAATAGTAACTTAGGCCTTTTCTGAGCTTTTCTTTCTACCCCCGAGGGCTGTATTTTTACTGCCATCATGGTTTTTTGTTCTTCATTCTTTTCACTTTTCAAGTATTTGATAGTTGTCGAAGTGCGGTACAGAAGAATGCATCTGGCCTAAGCTTGGAATAATGATTTTAGTGCTAAGCTTCCCAAGCAAACCGAGACTGCTTATTCACAGAAGTCAGTCGGTCCTCAACTGTGCTCGTCCTCACCCTCATTCAGTCCCGAGGTGGTTTGACCAGGAGGTGGGGTCCCGTGGAGGGCAGGCGTCTAGCATCTGAAATTCCATGGGAGGTCAGTTTCCACAGGGTGTCCTGACATCACACGTGTTTGGCCTCTGGGAGAGCACCATCCTTTTTGATCAAAGGAAGCCAGGACTATGGGCGTGTCTCATGGGGCTTCTCATCTGATTCACACCTTTGGCCTCTGAATCTCAAGTGGGGAGTGACTTTACTGTTTTGAAAAGAATGGTATGTGGACTTTTTTGGGGGCGGGGAATGAGAGCACTAATCACATATCCCCCTGTTGGGAACTTGGGCACAATCATCCAGAACTGTGTTCTTTGCCGTCCTTTTTCACATTATTGTTTTTCTCTGTTGGGTTTCATCAGAGGTCTGTGCTCACGAGGCTGTGACGTTTTGAGGTCCAATCCATTTGCAGACTATAGTGAACAGTGAGCAGCCTAGGCAGCCTGGAGAGGGCCGTGACCTTGAAGAAGTCATTTAACATCGCTGGGCTCTTTTTCCTTGTGTTTAAAATGTGGAGATTAAATTCTGCGGCTTCTGATGCCCCTTCCTGCTCTGTGATTCAGTGTCAGTACTTGGAAGGAGTTGAGAAACTATGGGAAAAGTTTCTAGCCCAGAATGTGTTTTTCAGTTTTTCTGGCAAATTCTTTAGGAATTCAGCCTTGGAGTGCCTCTGTGTCTTTATTCCCGCCTTCTCCTCTTCCAGTACATGGTCTGCTTCTCTTCAGATTAGTCTGGGGAAACCGAGGCCAGCTTTCTGAGGGAGCTGTGGCTTCCTCTGGGGAACTTGAATGTGGCCAGGCCTAGGCTTACGCCCGCTCTAAGTCTGAGCTGTCCTCCCTGTAGAAGTTTGGGCTTAATCAAGCCCGGTGTGCATGTAATGAATTATTGAAGTGTCGTCTCCATGGCCGTGTCTGAGAAAACAACACGTTTTCTCTGTCAGGTTCATGACTAATATAAATATCAGTTCCCATTATGGCTTGGTAACTCCCCAGGGTCTGGTCCAATGTATCCAATTAGGGCTGGAGCTCCAGTGCCTCAGAATTCTTGAGTCCAGATTGGCCCTGCTGCCTCACCTCGTCTTGGAGATTGCCGGCAACTGGATGACCTTCAGCTAATTCTCTCTGATCAGATCACTTAGGGTGGACTTGGAGAAGCTCTCCGGTCCCAGTCACAGGGGAGTTCCCGCTGACCTTCCCTCGAGCAGAGGGAGTTTGCTTCCCATTCTTGGCTCTCTCTATGGAAATGCACACTCTGTGAGGGACTCGGCAGTCAGACCCAAGTGCTGATGCTGGATCTCACACTTATGAGCAGGGTGTCTTTGGCTGGCAGCCATCTGGAGCCTTGATCTCTTCATGTGTAGAAGGAGCATAATGGTGCGTCCTTGGTGGGATGCTTATGACGAGCAGGCTCCCTGTAACTAGCTCCATGGAGCGGTCAGTTTGTTTTCTCCTCGATTCCTTGAATGATTTTGGTGCCGGGGGGCCCAGACTACAGCACATAGAACTTTTTTTCTGGCCCAGAAGGAACCTCTAGACTCTGAAGTCCGCTGTCCTTGGGTCCAACAACCACTTCCGGTCAGACAGAGATTTGGGCTCATGGCTCTCGGCCGCTGCAGCCTGGGGGGTGGGGCGGGGCAGCCAGCGAGGGCTCCTGTGTTTTGACGGCAGCTGTTTGCATGGTGGGGACCTCAGTGGCCTGGTGTCGACTATGTTGACCCCGCGGGTTTCCAGGACTGGTAGACCTAGACCATGTGAGAGCTGTTTGGTAGATGGGCAGGGCTGGCCAATGTCACACCATTAAGGGACCACATCCATCCCTGTTATCCCAGTCCAGAGCTCGCAGACCTGTTCCCCTGATGATGTCACCATTCCCCGATGATGTCTGATGATGTCACCGTTCCCTGG